GAAACTGCTGTTAAAGTGATGAAAAGAAATCATTTAATCAACTTGTTATTTAGAGTCAAGTACAAGACATTTTCTTTTATGGTTCATTTCTTCAAGCTAGTAACACAAAGTAAATATTAAGACAGTGATATTTGGCATTAGAGGTATTACACAATGGTTAATTTCAGAAGTATTCATTTAATTGGTTTTTGTACAAAGTCCTTGGCTTAAGGAAGGCTTCAGTTTTATTTAAACTTATAATTCAGTAATGAATCTGAGAAATTATGGTCAGGATTGGTAGTGGTGATTTCCATAAGTAGAAATTGTAAGCTATTTTAATTTTCTTGGATAATAAAACTTTTCAGACTCTACTGTTTAGATTAATTAATAAATAAATATATCTGGTTTCTAATATTTGGCTTTTTGTGTTAATAAAAAACTGTTTTCTTATTACCAGGATATGGTTTGTCTTGATTTTATCATCCAACTACAAACATGCTCTGCTTGGCCCATGTCCTCTGTCAGGATATTTCATGATTGCAGAGGAGGTACCATTGTAGTTTATCAGGAAAAAGGGGTGTCATTTCACCAGACTGAGATCTTTCCTGAAATATTTCTGTTTTATGTCCTGACAAGTCTGTGGCTGAATTCATTCATGGATGATCAGAGGTCTTATGTTGCTTGTTATTCCAACAACTGAACTAAAGCTCATAGATGTAAATATTGCTTACTCCTGGTGAGTACATATCATCAGTCATTAATGAATACTTGCTGAATTATATTAAAAATGTCCTTTAACATTCAGTTCAGTAGCCACTGGTCCGAAGATGCTTTTTTTGACTATATATTTCTAATGGACAAGACTGCTGATTTCATCCACCAGTTCTTCTGTGTTCCTGGATCTCTGGGCACACTAGAGTAAAGTACTTGTCACCAAATAATATTTTAAAAATTTCTTGTATGTCTCATCTGTTCAAATTTTGACAACCATGATAAAAGGTATTCCAAATGTTTAATATTTTTAGGTAGTATTACTTGTTACTTTATATATTAAGTAAGTGTAAATATTTTATAAGATGAATAATTTCTAAATTTTGCATGTCATCAAGATTTGCCAATACATACATACAACATTAGTTTATAAACTCGCATAAGAGAAACATGCCATAGGGTCTATAGAATGAAATACAATGAATACACATGTAAATGCCTAGTATTTTGATAAACATGAGGACCGAGAACTACAAATATAGACAATTATTAGAACATCACACAAGAACACTAGGCAAATTACGCTGATAATCATAGAAAAACAGGAAGGATATTTTTTCTCTCACTAAAGCTCATATTTAATCTTTAAAGTTCTCAGTAAATATGTCTTAAAGTCAAATAAATTCCCATTTTTTTAAAGAAAAATCTTGGCCTATTAGGAGAGACATTAATAAATTTTCTCCATATATTGTATGGTCAATACCCAAGAGTTGAACTAGTACTTACCCTGTTAGTGTTCTATTCCTGAGAGGAACATGATCTATTTGAACAGAATGGCCTTAGGCCCAACCATAGAGATTAACTAATGTAGAATCCAAAGCAGCACAACTCCATTGGTCGCGATCTTTCCTGGAAAACATCTGCTACCAGCTGAGTGTGTTTACATTTTGGCAGTACTAGCAGATGTGCTAGTTGTCAGCCCATCTGTGCGGTGTTGGGAGACTGGGGCTAAGGAACCTGGGAGGGGCAGGCAGCAGTGAGTGAGCTTACTATAATATCCTCAGTTGTTCCAGAAAGTGAAAATTAGTACCTTAGAGCAATTTTTTTCTTCCTGTGCCAATGACTTAAAGCTAACTGATTTATGTGTATTGCCTAGAATGAGCAATAGAGTTTAGCAGTGGGACCTCTACTAGAAATGTAGCCATGGTAAGATCAATATTTTAGAAAAGTAAATAATTGTTTCTGTAAAAAAATATTAAAAATTTGGAGAGTAAATGTCAGTTTTAATATTTGTAAATATAAAATATACGGTCTATGGGAAAAGAAAACACTGAGTGAAATAAGCATCAGTTTTTGTAAGTGAAACTCTTATTTTGCTCTCTTGTATTTTTGTTATCTTAAATATTATCCAAAGCAAGTTCTTTAAAACATATTTTCATAGCTAACAGAAAAGTTACTTAGAGAAATTTTCAAGAGAAATCTACAGTTCTCATTTACTGAACACATTTTTTATTTTTTTCCTGGAACACATCGTGGATTGCTATATTTTTTCTTTTACTTGAAAAATTACATTAGCAATTGAGACAGAAATCACCAATTTGGAAACAGTGAATATATAAATAAATAAACAAATTACCATATATTTACATTGATATTTAATTTTTTCACAGTGTGGTTACTGGTGTTCTAGAAATTAAGCAACTAAGTGACTGAAATCTTTTCTCTCTTATATAGGGGAAATCATTAAACTGTCCTCTTAATTTGAAGATTAGGCAGCCCCCAGGCCTAGAAAGAAAGAGAAACCCCAGTTTAAAGAGAAATCAGTATTAAATGATGAACTTAGCTATCTTCAGAAGTCAAACCTTAAGACATTTCTATAAAAAAGTTTCTAGTGGAAATGAATGAAACTCTCAAGTTCAATCAAAATGTTTGATAGGAACTTCAACTTTAAGATGACTCTAATATAATGATTTTTTTAATACATAAAATAAAATTTCACATAAGGAAAATACAGGGTGCATGAAAAACATATACACAAGTTTGAAGCAAGAAATGGCAATATTTATTTAACACTGTTTAGGGGAGAGTCACTGACCTGGCAGGCATAGATATTCTTATCATTAAAAATAATTGTGCTGTTTTGAGGCAGTGATCATTAATACTTTCCCAAGTCTAAGTTACATATTCTCTCTCTATATGTACCTATACTTCTAGTTTCTGCTCATTAAATAATAATCTGTTGGGTAACTTAGTTTGCCAAGGAAATTCTTGCCAGTTAAGAGGAGGCGGCATCAAATGTGGCAGTTAAGAGAATGGGCCCTGAAGTTAGTGGGCTCTAGTTTTGGTTGTCTCCCTTTTGAGCTGCATGACCTTGAATAAATCACACAACCTCTTATAAAATTGGGATACCTGCAGCATTCCTGTCATAGTTTTGTTATTGAAATTAAATCTGTTACTATATGTAAATAATTCAGAATCTATTTGATCAGAGTGTGGAAAATTTTAGTTTTGTTAACATAGAAGAGAAAGATGTGCATTGGTCTCATAAATTGTTGGATTATTATGAGTATGTAGTCAGTCTATTTTACACTAAAAGTATAAACCTTAATACATTGAATTAGTTTGATTCAGTCACTTAGAGCTAAAAAAAATTCTTCAAAAATTTAGAAAAACTTATTTCAATAAATTGGCAGAATTTGTGCTTAATTAAATGAGCACAAATTATTTTGTATTTAATACCTGTATTTTAAATCAATACAGGCAAATACAAGAACAAGGAAATTTATTTTTATACAAGACACTAACAATAAATACATTATAAAAAGTGTCTGCCTAGTTTTTAATTCCAGGAAAAAATTGCAAAAAATACTGTATAATTACACTTCTTAAAACATGCATTGAAGGTGTAAAAATTGAATTTGTTTGGTCATTCTTACTTAGAAAAATTAATTTTGTAATTGCCCTATTTCTTAAAGTTTGCAGTATGCTATAGTGCCTTTTTAATCCCTGAAGACAAATTGGAATTGTGTGAGAAAATATCATTCCTTTGGAAAGCCTGTTGAACAACAGCACACTATAGAGAAAAATCACAGAATATCTAATCACAATTTCAGAGAACAACATACCTACATCTATTCAAAATAATAAATATTTAGTGACTGCTGGGGTGACTCAGAAGTAGAGTGTATTCCTAGCACGCATGAGGTACTGATTTTAATCTCTGACACCACAAAAATAAATAAATGGATAGATTTTTTAAATAAATAAATAAATATTGTATATAATATTTGATGGTAGGAAAAAAATTAATATTGCCTTTTTGGGGAAGTATTGAGAGTGGAACTCAGGGGCACTTTCCGACTCAGCTATATCTCCTTCCTTATTCCTTTTTATTTATTTATTTATTTATTTTGAAACAGGCTCTTGTTAAATTGCTGAGGCTGGCTTTGAACTTGTGATACTCTTGCCTCATTCTTTCAAGTAGTTGGGATTACAAACATGTGCCAGCATACTTGGCTTAACATTGCCTTTTTGAAAAATAGCCGAAAGTCACCATAACTCACCAAAATCCTGAAAGATGCTCTGTAACATCAGAAAATGGAGTTCTATGATGAGATATGATTATACTCCAAGAACAGAGAGGAATAATCCACTGTTTATGGATCTTTGAAGGTAAAATATAATAACACAAATATAAAAATAGCATCTATGCTAATTTTTCATTGTTAATAATTACTTATTGGTCTATAGCAAATTTCAAAATCACAGAATGCTGAATTTACAGTTAAAATTTTCTTTAGAAAATAGTGTAGTAAATGAAAACATGGCATTGGCACATATGAAAAGCCATGAAAGAAGATTTAAATATATAGTCTTTCAAAATCATCCCTTGGAAGGCCACCTGCAAAGAACTGCAATTTGCAGATGAAATCACAAGTCAAGAGGCAGTCCTTGAATATATATGTATAAGGAGTCATTGTCCTCTTCAGCCCTAAAGCTGAAATGACTCAGTTACTTTAGTCAGTGGGAGTATAATTTGGATATAAATGACCATCATCTGTGTAATGCTCCTCCAAAAACCAAAACCAAAATGTACTATACAATAAATTGTTAATGATTTTCTTATGTTCTTGTTTCTACTGATTTTATTCATATTTCTATGCAAACACTTTGAAATAAAATGGTTAGCCTAATTTTCAATGACTGAGGCTAAAGGGAAAGGAAGTCAAAAACATCAATAAAAAATTACTAAAGGATATTGACATATTAAGTAGAACCAAGGTCTTTGATATAAAAGCAAGAGAAAAAAATTGAAAAAAGAAATTTAATTTATTTTACAATTTTACAAATGATAAAACAATAATACCCAGTTGCTATACACAAATGATAGGGAAACAGTGTTTAACAGAATGAACCTGACAGAAAAAAAAACCTCATCTCTTAATTCCACAAATAAATGATATAAGAAATTCTCAGTAGCAATTATCCTGTGCAGCAACACTATCTCTGTAAACTGACTTTTTTCCTGCTATATACATTTGAAACACTTGTGCTTTCGCCTACACAAAGAAACAGCATTTATTAAAAGGTGCTACTTAAATGAGACACACAAGGCCTGGAGTCAAAATCTGAAAACTGCAATTCAAATACACTGCCAGCTTGAAGACTTTTATTATTTTTTTTTTTCATTTTTAAAAAAGTGTGGACATACTAGTCCCTTATTTTAACTCTAAGTATGAACATAGAATTCAGTTTTAAAGTAGGTCTCTCTTAAAGCAGTTTAGTCACTGAAGTTTCAAAAGAACTTCTTTATTCCCAAGTGGTCTAATATCTCCAGGGTAGTTCACAGTGCAGACCCTGAAGATGTTAACATAACACAAATCTAGTGTGTACATTTTACAGACTCAGTGTGTATACACACAGATACACATATATAACATTGTATATATGTTACACACATGTCTATTTGTACTATATAGATATATCTATAGCACATATATAATAAAATATCTATTTCTAGGTGGGCTTTATTTGGATTTTTTAAAAAATCAAATACAAACAACAACCCTCACTCATTTTTTTTAAAACATTGGTATATTAATAATGTTTGATGGGGAAACTTCCAAACTTGAAGAGATAACAACTAACTATACATAACTCTTCCCTCACCCCTTCCACAATTACAGATAGTCCTTATAATAACCACATGAAAACAATTCTTTCATGAACCAAATACAACATTATGTGCATTATGACTAACTGGCTCAATTAGAAATAAATTACTTAGTTCACCCTTTTCCTGTGTAATAGCTTAGTAACTAGTCGGTATGTACACTACCCCTAGCATTATTTAAATTAATCACTTCTATAAGCATACATGTAGAAATTCCCATTAATAATTGATATACAATTCATATGATATACAATACATGAAGACATTTGAATGCCCAGCACCTTCTTTCAGTTAGGAAAACTTCCACAGTAGTTTCATCAGTCTTGTGGGCTGAATCATTTAGATTTGCCCAGAAAATCTGTTACTGACTCACTTTTTATTTCAGCAATATAACATTAACCATAGAACAGGCTGGGTAATAATGATGCAATGTTTCCATGGCCTATTCATGTTAACAGCACAGTAACATTATGTTACCTAAACAGGAATATTTCACAATCAGCTGCCTGAGCATTGCCAGGTACATGGTTAAATCATGAAAAATAAGTTAAAAAAAATTAAAGCTGTAAGTGTAAGACAGTTTCAAAAGAAAGAAAACCCCCTATATTTCAAGTATGTATTTATAATTTGATTTTGCTCTGATCCCATTTGCCCCCTTGTTGTTTAAATTTCAGCTCTTTGTTAGTCTTGCTGTTAGCCTTCAATGATCTCCTTGCCCTATCCTTATAAGAAGGCCGCAGTAGATATCAAAGGGGGAAGACAGATGGATAGGTATATACAATAGGGAATGAAATAGACTTGTACAGTTGCCTTGTTTGAACACTGAATACCTTAATTGAATTCATTCTTGAGTATTGAAAGTTCCCTGAGATGAACAAAAATAGTCTCAGTCAATACTGAAGCCCTTTTTTTTATGCTGAACATTTTCAGAACTGGGCAAGTATTTAGAGAACAGAAAGTGTAGGATAATAAAGCAGAGCGAAGAAGCTAAAAAGGCACTACCCAATACATCTATGAGATAAACATCAATGCACAGAAACAGTGAATGGCTGACATGTGTTTGCTGTGGCCTTAAAATTGTTTAAGTACATTTGTTGAAAATGCAGTAAAAATGGCAAGGTACCTTGCTGTTGCTTTTTAAGACAAACTTTGAATGAATATCAAGTTGGAAGATTTACTTGTGACTTCTACATTTCTACTGAATTCAAGATAAAGGCTACTGTAACAATTTATTATGTGCAAATAGTCCAAACTGAGATACAATTTTACTTTTCATTTATTAAATAAATCATACTTTATGAAAAGATTCTACTTTTCATGTTAGATAAAGCATACTTTTCAAGTTTACCTTCAAAGCGTATGCAGTTTAAAAAAAAATTCAATAGATAAGAGGTTTAATGATAAAAGTACATTAAAGTTCTATTCATTTTTAGCTATGAATCTCCCATATGTATTCCATTTTACTTTCTTAGGGACACAAGAATCCTAGGAAAATACAGTCTTCTGTATCCCAATGTTCTACCTTATTTTTTTAAATAATAGCACATATCATTAAAAATATTAAAAATCATACTATTCTGAATATCTATACTGTGATAACATGAATATACATATATATTTGTGTGTGTCTGTATATATATATATATATATATATATATATATAATTCATGCTTTTATTCATCTCTCACATTGCCTTCTCTAAGAAAGAAACAAAACAAACCTATTCCTCATGCTATTTCTTCTTTCCTCAGATGCCTTCCCCAAGAAACAAGAAGTCATGTAAGTTGGTTCATGCCAAAGAAGAAGTGAGAAAAAAGTGCTTCTGCTTTCTGAAGAAACAATTTACCATCAGAATTACCTACTGGTGCAGTATAAATTATAAGAAAACTAACTTACTGACCCATTCTGTTATATTTTATACTTTTAAAAAAATCACCTTATGAAAAACTTTAGTTTCTTTAAAAACACATTTAGGGGTAATGTGATTAAATTTACAGAAAACTATTGGTCAATTGAATTCACTTTAAGTACATAACACTGACACAGTTTCATTGTTAAACCTCTTAACATTAATCATCTCTGCTATTAATCATGATATTTTTGCACTAAGTATGATACAAAGAGCATAACAATCTTTGCCTTTGAATCACAGGGGAATATTAAACAACTAGAAGTCACATTTCTGCTATATCAAACTTTATTCTAAACTTATGCTTTTATTATACGGTTTCTTTATTTTCTTGCTTATTCTTGATGCCCCTCTTTATTCTAAAGAGCAAAATGTTTCCACAGAATTATTATGAAATGAAGAGAATATGGCAGATTTCCCTCCAATAAAAATAAAATTTGACTTTGGAAATTTAAAAATATTTAGAGACAACTTTCACGTTAGTAGCATAATACTATATTCATCTTAATAATGTATTACTTTCATGAGAGGAGAATGGTATGTTGTGTAGAAAAATGAGTATAATCTTTGGTACCTAAAGTGCTTTTTTTTTTCCTGTTAATTTTACCATTTTAGATGATCTGGAATGTCTTTCCTTTAAAATGGTCCACTATCACTGAGTGGTACAGTTTAGCTGGTACCTTCTACACCACTGGAAATTAATCTGGAGGTCTAGAGTTGTGCAAAATAAAACTTAAAAAATAGAAACAGTGTGATTGTTTTTGAAAATTATGAGAACTTTAGTAATGATTATTTGACATTTATTTCTCATTCATTTGTATTTCCTATTTCTTTATCTCAGAAAGGATTTCTGAGCATCGCAGTATCTAAATCAAAAGAGACTTCAGAAGACATCCCCCCACCCCCCAAAAAATTTAAAAAAACACAATCAAAAACATAACATTCATGATCAGACTCAGAGTCCTGACTGAAGGCATTTACTTGAGTTGTCTAATCTTATGGATTTCACTGCTCAAATTGTTCCATCTTGATTTCTGCTGATAAGGATGATTTAATTTCCCAAGGGCTGAGTTGTGTTCCTGGGTTCCTCTTCTCATGTGCTTTGCGTTGCAGCGGCAGCCCAAAATTGACGAACATATTTGCTTTGCTAATTAATGACAAATGCATTGTTTGATCTTGTAAACACTACTGATTATACATTCAGACTGTATTCTTAGTGGAAGTGGCACTTACTAGGACCCTTGAAGTCAAAATATTTAATTTTTAGAGCACTTTGCAGGTATTTCATCAGCTGGTAGTGGATTTCACATGAACTTCCTTTATCATCCTTTCAGTTAATTGGTGAATGCTGAAACCCAGCCTTGTTTTGGATCCTGTTTTCAAATCTTCAGAATCATCTTCAGAACAGAAGTGCATATTCGGTTTGTTTGTATGTTTTAAAATGTGCTTTATTGCTTTATACACTTTCCTGTTGTCAATTTTAGAGCTCCTCTATTATGTAGCACATTTAACGTTTTGAATTCTAATGGCATTCTGTGAGGACTTGCATTGGAAAAGTACCTATATTTTAAGTCATCATAGTAATGATATTTGACAGCTTTTCCATTTAAATCCTTAGGGAATGGCCAGAATCCATACAGGTGAATTTCATCACAGAATCTTGTGGCGAGTGTATACATGAGCAGACCTGTGCTGGGTCTTTTGATGGGAACTTTGTTTGTTAGCCAGTAACTGGAAGAAAAAAAAAAATACAAGTGTTTAGAGAGACAGGCAACATATTCTCAAGCAAGTACTTTCTATATAGAAAATTTTAAAAGCCCTTCATTTACCAATATTTTGAATGATTACTGAAAAAAGTAGCATTTATGTATTTAGAAACTTATACTTTTATTCTACAGTTTCTTTATTTTCTTGCTTATTCTTGATGCCCCTCTTCTAGCTGGAGAACCTAAAATCTAGGTAACTATTATTCTAGAATCACACATTCAAAAGGAACTACTAGCAAACAATATACTGAATAGAATTTTGTCAGAAAAGGTTAAATATTGCTGGGAATAGGCACAATTTTGGGGTAGAGAATTATCTTTTTAGGAAAAATAATTTGAAACAATCACCTATAGATTTCAAAATATCTAAAAATCCAATCAAAAAATACTTTATCTGCACTATGCCAACTGATTTTTTCAACTCCAATTATAAAAATCATACTTTAGTAAAGCATTCTAAAGCAAATTAAAAGTATTTTCTTAATGGAAGTAAGAATATCAAAAAAACACAAATAAAATATAGTAGTAGAATCACTGATAAATACCACTTAGGCAGTTTAACATCTTGTAAGTGTAAATGTAGGTAAAATGTATTTCAATGTTGATAAATATTTTATAGTACCAACTTATGGAGGCAAAGTATTCAAAATATTCAGATCAATCACTTATACCAAACTTTATTGGCTTGAAAAACATGGAAACTCTCAAATTAATCAGTACTTCTGGAAGACAGGGAGTTTCCAGTATTTCTTGGTATATTCATTTTCTTAAAGACAGTGTCTACTGTGAAAACAGCTGAAAGGGGAAGAGTGTGGGTTTTCTTCTCTTACTTCAAAAGTTGACTACTTATACATACAACAAACTTAATAAACAATTTGTTTGTTAAATTTTTGTTTTCACTATTGTGTCTTCAGTGGGGGAAATACATATCCTGCATATAAATGTAAATGTAAGAATACATTAGATGCTGGTAATTGTTATATTTCATATACTTGACTTTAATTTCACAGAATATACTTTTTCTGGTTTTAAAACAATTCTTGGGGCTGGGGCTGTAGCTCAGTGGTAGAGTGCTTGCCGTGCAGGTGTGAGGCCCTGGGTTCAATTCTCAGTACCACATAAAAACAAATAAATTGATCGATAGATAAATATATCATGTTCATCTACAACTTAAAAAATTCTTATGAAGCTTACAAGAGAAATCAAATATATCTTGAGTATTAAATAAGAACAATTTTGAAATGTTATTTTACACCAATTTTTTTTTATAAAAAATACTTTCAAACTTTGAAACATCCCAGAGAAAACATATTTAGTTATTATGATACTTTGTTTTATCACCCCTTTTATTCCAACCAGGATTGAACTTACATGTTTTCTATTTTTTTTCTCTTTTGAGAATGCAATGGGCTAAATATTTTGAGCTTTGAAAAATTTATTATGGACATTTTTTTAATCACAAAATTGTTTTGAGAAAGTCTGTTCTCAGTAAAGATTTATAAGAAATGTTTAGAGAGGAACAACTGAAAATTTTCTTATCTAAAGGTAGCTGAGTAAATAAAGTATATTATATGTTGAAGGTTAAATGAATGAAGAAATCACAGACAGAAATTCCATGCAAGGAGCATAGTTAAGGTCTAGTTTGAAGACTTTGAAGAGACCAATGTGGTCAGAAGATCCTCTGGCACTAAAATGTTGGTGTTCTTAACATGAAATCGTTATAGAAAAGTTTTACCAGTGATTTGTGTATGGTTACAAATGTCCAGTGATGAAGTTGGTTAGTTAAAAAGTGCATCCATTTATAAATTTGTAAGGTAAGCTAAGTCATTTCAAATGTAGAAAAAATAAAATTGATTATCACCATCATGGAATGTCAATGTTGGAGATAATCTGCAGTATTATAATTATGCTAAATTATTTCCAAGGGGGAAAAACTATTATCAGGAAATAACATGGTGCCTTATTATTTGTATGGAACTGTAAGGTCTTATTATCATTAGATTCTTTCCATTTCTTAATTGTAGAAATTTCCTAGAAGTCCTTGTAACTGTGGCTGGATATTGACAAACACCAAAGCAACTTTTATGTGGAATACAAGATGGTAACTACAATGTCACACAGAAATATTCAAGGCAAAGTATCCATTTAAATTCTTCACACCAGTGTCAGAAATGTGCAATCACTCAGCCTTTTTCGATCCATGGCATCTCATGAGATATCACAATCAGAAAGCCAGCAAAGTGTCTTGAAAATGAAACTCTGGTGGCAAAGCACGCTATTTTAAAATAACAAGTAGAGGGGCTTTATAAACATGGAGTATTGTTCCAAATATATTGGTCTGTACATTTATTGCAGGAGATTATTAATTTAGCTTTAGACACACTAACATAAGAAGAAAGCAAATTTTATGATGCTTGGCTTACAACAGTTTGTATAATTTCAATGTAAATCACTCTAATTCAGTACAATGTGTTCTAGTTTTAATCTCAATTTTATGTCTTTTACATGGTTTAAAATTTAGAAATATTTCAGTAAATAATGTAGCCATATATGTATTTATGTTATGTAAATTGGTTTTGGAACTATTAAAACAATATAGGTTCCTTGTAAATAATTTAAAAGAAGAAATGTATGAAGAAGAAAATATAACTATAATACAACTACTTCGAGATAATTGCTGCTACAGCATCTCTGTCATTTCACTTCTCCAGCTGATTTGAATCTTACTATGTGTTTTAGTCATTCATAGATATATACAGGATGCTTTTCCACCAACTAGGCTGTTTTATTTCTGCTAGTATTGCCTTCATTTTCTGTCTCCCTTTTTTCCTGCCCTCTCTTTTTTTCTTTCTTCTTTCCTTCCTTTGTTCCCTCCCTTCTTTTCTTTTGCTTTATTATTATAATAGCCTCTCCTGATGGATGAAACCAATTTGCTTTGAATTTTGTGTGTCAGTAGAACACTTATAACTTTTTTTAAAAATGTGATATCCTCCATAGAACTTATTATTCCCAGCATGGAATCTCTGTCCTTGCTAAGCCAGATGATTTATCTACTCTTCCTCCAATGTGATAATCCCAGCTCGTATTCAAACAAACTCAAAACTTGGAATGCCTCTACCTTCCAAATCACTGTTTATGGTCAGAGAACATGGGTTTGGATCCCTTCTGTGATGGTTATTAGTCCTTGGAAAAGTTGCTTCACTTCCTTGGACCTCAGTCAATGGCATTTTATGTAGAAGATTTTTGCAATAATGTAAAAGAGATAGTAAATGTGAATAAATACAGCATAAACTTGACATGTCGTGACAGTTGAGTTCTGACATGTCCTATAACAACCCATTCATCAATCCCACACATAAATCCCACTTCTCCCTTGAAGTATATCTTGGAAGAGAATTGTGGTGATACCACTGAACCTCAAAGAACACGTTTCCTTTGTTCAGAAACATAAGCATTTGTTTCTATGTCTTGGGGTTTCCTCCAGCTATAAGATTTGTTTTTTCAACTGGGAATTGAACCCAGAGGTGATTTGTCACTGAACCACATCCCCAGCCCCCTCTTTTTTCTTTCTTTTTTTTTCTTTTTTTTTAAATTTTGAGACAGGGTCACAGTAAGTTGCTTAGGGCCTTGCTAAGTTGCTGAGGCTGGCTTTGATCTTGCAATTTTCTTTCCCCAGCTTCCCAAACCATTGGGATTACAGGTGTGTGCCATTAAAAAAAAAAAATCTTATTGTGGTTTAAAATCTTCTTTCTTCACAAAACTGTAAGAGAGTCTTATTCCTCCTCTGCTTCCACCTCATCCTGCTGTTCCTTTATTTTCTTTTAGGTTTTAATATAAGGCAAAGCCAAGAAGGTACTTAATAAATCTTAATCTTAATAAATTTAATAAATCTTGATTTTTAAAGACAGACTGTATCTCATCATAAAATCAAATAGTAATCACCTGATGAGTCAAAGTATCAGATGGTTTCAAGCAAGCACAATTTTAGAAAGAAAAGCAAAAAATGCTACTTTTCACAATACCGATTAGATTGGTGAGAATTTATACTCAAAATATTGGTAAGGGGCTGGGGATGTAGCTCAGGTCGTAGCGCGCTCTCCTGGCATCCGTGCGACCCGGGTTCGATCCTCAGCACCACATACAAACAAAGATGTTGTGCCCGCCAAAGAACTAAAAAATAAATGTTAAATGTTAAAAAATTCTCTCTCTCTCTCTCTCTCTCTTTAAAAAAATATTGGTAAGAATGAACTATTAATTTCAATTTGTATTTATATAAGGAAGCCTAAAACTTTATAAATAAGGTAATTTTCCCTTGTAAAATATAAATGTTCTTCAAAAAATATGAAAATTCCTAAGAAAATTCAGATATAGAGGAAGATATCTTACCTTGCTAGCAGTTATAATTCAATGTAATATTACATGTAAGTTTCTCTTCATGAGCTAAGAAAATCTTTCTGGTATATGAGATGAAGCAAAAAACATAATAAATATGTGTGTTCTTAATTCATAGGAGTCTCCTTTATTTCTCTTCTTGTGTTTATCTCCCACAACTGAACTTTATCTTTGGTTGTATACAAAATTCTGTCAAAGTTAATAACATAGTTTCTGACTCTAATACATCTACAGAAACTTGAGATATGACAAAAGAATTATATTTATACATTTCACCTTTACAGGAGATGTCCACATCTGCTCAACTCTACACTCCACCTCCAGAAAGCTAACAGGTCCCATCTATTTCATAAGAATGGCATCATGGAGAAACAAACCAAAAAAAAAAAAAAAAGTAATAATTCTGTGAGATTTCACCTTCTTTATTTGCCAATATATTTGTTCATATAAGGAGTATAAGTGGATCAATTCTATAAAATAAAATGTAAGTCAGTTATTCCTCAGTATACTGAAATGCAATGTCTCTGCTATCTTCTTCCAAACTGTCAAAATAACCATTTAGTTGGGTACTGC